TGAGTGTCAGCTAAGCTTCCCAACGCCAGGGTCTTCATCTGGCTAGCCAGCACCCTCTCTCCCTGTGTGAGTAATGAGACTGCCTTTTCAAAACCTTCCTTTCTTTATGCCTTTTGTCCTCGGAACCCTTTTTTTCTCCTATGTGATGTCTTTGATGTCTTGTGTATGTGGCTAAAAAGCTTGTGATTATGGATGCTGCCTGCAATATTGAGTCTCTTGATTTTTTTAATCTTCCCCTGATTAAATTCATATAATGATTAATTCTGCTTGTCTTTTACAGTTCCCTTATCTTTATTCTTACTAGGTTCCCAGGTTTTTTTTTTTTTTTTTTTTTTTAGGCCAGAAACAAAAATCCCTCTATTGTTCTGTTTTTTAATTAAATATATTTTCCTGTGGCCGTTTCAGCTCTCTGAAATTGCATTAAATATATTATTTTGGCAATTTCTGTTCCACGTGATATAACCATCTCTTTGATTTAATTTAATCCACTTAAAAACAACTTTAAACTCTCATAGAATTTTGTAACTGGAGGAGACATTGTTTATGACCGGTGCTTTCATTTTACAGAACATGACCTCAAGGCCCAAGAAGTCAACCGAGGTATTTGTTCAAAAAGCAAGTAGTGTATTAGTGGCAGGGTCAGGACTGGAACCCTGCTTTCCCTGGTGCTCTTCCCGCAACGGGGCCGCTCTCCATTTAAAGTGCTGTTTGTCTTTGCTGGCCATCTGTGTGCCATTTTCATACTGTGTGCATCCCTCCCTTCTCTCCTTTAGTATTTGAGCTTGAAATACCCACAAAAGAAAGATCTCCCAATAAAAACCAGAAATAGACTCCATCCTTCAATGTTGCTACAGGCCCCTGGAGTTGTTATTGGCAGCATGGGCAGTAAAAGTCCCTGGGTTTTATTTCCAGTCCTTCCTTCATCTGGTGCATAACTTCGGGGATATTTGCCCCTTGGGCTTTTCTCCTGTGTTGGATTGCAGTTATAGGAAGAGTCTATGAAAGACCCCTTGTATCTGAAGCAGGCATTCAGCATCATTAGGACATTCAGTGTAGGCAAATGCACTTATTTTTAATCTACAAATTTGATCCTTATTCCTTTCATGTTAATGGTGGATTTCTAAACCTCATCAATCTCCTCCAGACTTAGAGAACTGTAGTCTCTCCCTCCCTCCCTCCCTCTCTGCTTCCCTCACTTCCTGTCTATAGTTTTGACGAAGAAATGAAAAGAAAAATGCTGATAAGCAAGGCCTCTGAAAACTTATGTGGCTTTTCTCTGTGAGGTGGGGCAGCCAGACTCTGAGATCCAGTGAGTGGTCCAGGACCACGGATGTGCTTGTCCCCAGGGAAAGCTGTGATGAGAGCTGTTGGTCAGTAGAGAACGAGGAGTCACGTCAGCTCTCTACATAAAGTTTGCTCAGCCTTCCTGAACCCTGAAATGCTGAAATGTTGATAGGCACATCCTTGCTCTAAGTCTGTCTTGGCTTGAAGTAGCTGAAGCCAACTTGAGTCAGACAGGAAGGGGGAGACAGGCAAAGACTTAGGCCTGGCATAGACCCAGACAGACACAAATCTGAACGAAGATAAAGGACCAGACCTAGGATGCTCAGTAGGAAATCAAGAGGGATTTCCTCCCTTTAGTTGCTTTGCTGCAAGACATTGCAAGAATGGGTTTCTTAGGTTCACCCCCACACCTCTCTGCCCACACCTAAGCCTAAAATTTCCTAAAGAGGTCCTAAGGGATTCCTAAGTGAGTCAGGTACCCATCCAACTGAGATTCAAGATAAATGGCGGCAGAATGATGACAAGTGCATATAGATGTGTGCGTATGTGCATGTGACTCTCATCAATAAGTTTTATAAGATTATTGGCTCGAATTCAAACATGCCCAAACCTACAAACATTTGTATGTACTCATAAGGTCTAAGTAACAGTCCTTGAAGTGTGTGTGTGTGTGTGTGTGTGTGTGTATGTTCTCACATGCACATGTGGAAGCCAGAAGGTTGATGTCAGGTGTTTTCCCTCAATATCTCTACATAATTTTTAAGGTAGAGGCTCTAATTGAACCTAAAGCTTCCAGACTCAGCCTTCTGTGCCTAGTTCTTATATGGTTCTGGAGACTGGACTGGACTCAGACTGGACTCAGATCTTTTTTTCTTTTTTTTTCTTTTTTCTTTTTTTGCTTTTCAAGACAGAGTTTCTCTATATTGCTTTGGAGTCTGTCCTGGAACTCGCTCTGTAGACCAGGCTGGCCTCGAACTCACAGAGATCTGCCTGCCTCTGCCTCCCGAGTGCTGGGATTAAAGACCTGTACCCCCATTGCCCTGCAGTGGACTCAGCTCTCCTATTTGTGTGGGAAATACTGAGCTATCTCCCCGTGCTGGGACCTTGCAGTTTAAAACGATTATGACAAACTTTGGCTTTTCCAAGGTGGCAATAAATAAAATGCATTGCTTCATGCAGGGGAGGGAATCACGTTATAGTGCTCTGCCAAATCCCACGTCCTGGCCACATCCAATCATCTGGCTTGCAGCGACCAGCTTCCTCTCCTGGCTGCAGCTCGGGTGACTTCCGAGAGCTGCTTTCCTTGCTTAACCCTAGCATTGACTCCCTGCCCTGAGCATCGGTAAAACACACGGCCACACTTTGCGGGGCCCTTCGTTCTCCTATCTCTCATTTAGCTCCCTCGCTTCCTCTCCCCCTCAGGCTTCACTGTTCCCGAATGACAGCTGCCCACCGTGCCCCACAGCTTGCCCTCAGGTGGTAGCCCTGAACCTACCCTGCAGCTGCTACCTCTCTCGCCACTCCAACAGCTTTTCCAAGACAGGAAATCAGTGCGTTTGTTCGCTGGCACAAGAGATGGTGTACGGTAGGCTGCATACAGAATGCACACTATGACAAGCTGCTGGGTTTCAATGAATTTTGTGACGTGTGTTGGTTAAATACGAACGTGTGTGTGTGTGTGTGTGTGTGTGTGTGTGTGTGTGTGTGTGTGTGTGTGTGAAAGAATTAAGCCCTGGCTGTTGGGGAATATTGCTTTAAGGTGTGTGAGTTTTGTCTACGCTGCATTTGTTTAACTCTGTGAAGCTGTGATGCTTTGCCTGTCTGTAACACCTGGTGGCCTAATAAAGAGCTGAGTGGCCAGCAGTGAGGCTGGAGTTAGGATGGGCGGGGCTGATGGGCAGAGGATAAATAGAAGGAGGACTGAGGAGCAGCAAGAAAATGAGGATGTCACCTACCCGGCCACGTCCTGAGGAAGAAGGAAAGAAAAGGTGTACAGGAATAGATAAAAGCCTCAGGGCCCAAGATAGATGAAAGAACTTAAGAAAAGCTGGCAAGAAACAAGCCAAGCTAAGGCCAGACATTCACAACTAAGAGTAAGCCTCTGTGTGCAATTTATTTGGGATCTGGGGGGTGGTGGGCCCCTCAAAAAGGCCAAAGAGTAAAATTTTGAACTATACCCAGGCAACTCAACCCTGCTTCCAACATCCTCAGCGCAGGTGGGCTTGAGCTGGTGCCCCCTTGTTAGTTCATCTTCAGCATAATGGATAGAATGTTTTGTAATAATCATCACAACCTGTGGCTGTGAGCAGACCACCCCAGGGGCTTGAGTACAAACTTAAAAGAGTAGAGGTGAGATGTGAATTTTCCAAGGGATTTGCTGCAGTAGACCAAGGTGATTGAGTAGCAGGATGTCCTTGCATCCCTGTCCCTGAAAGGCCACTGGCCTGCGTGCCCACGGTCCTCTTAAGGTGTTAGTAATGACTGGCGTTAAAAAAAAAACAAAACAAAACAAAACAAAAAACTATTTTAATGAAGCTTAGAAAGGAGAGAGGTAAAAGGACAATTCTCCAAAGGACGCCAAGTGTGGGGGTGTCCAGATTGGCCATCTTAGTGGCTGTCTCCAGTGCCTGGCTCACCTTAGAGAATAGTCTTGATAAGAATAATTAAATGGCTGAGTAAATAAGTTGAAAAATAAGAACATTTTGCAATAGGTAAGAATAACCCCTGGGCAAACTCGTTAATAACAAGGACTCCAGAGTTTGTCTACATTTTATTTCTGTTTGTCTCTCTTTTGTTATGTCTTTCTCTGTAAAAGAAACATTTTTTTTTCTTTCCTAAGAGGCTGCAAACTAGTACTCTCTGAGGGACAGTTTATACTGTTCTTCTGTAGTCTATGAAGACACTGCCAAGGCTCATGCGCTGGTTACTGCTTGTCGCCTTGACACAAAGTAGGGTCGTTTGGGAAGAGGGACCCTCAGCTGAGAAATGCCTTCATCAGTCAGACAGGCCTGTGGGCAAGTCTGTGGGGCATTCCTTGATGGATAGTTGGTGAGGTGTCACCCTGAGGCAGGTGTTGCATCTAGGAGCTTTACTGTATCTTCTACGTTGTGGACCCAGAGAAACACACAACTTTCTATGGGAAGGTGGAGAATACTGAAGTTGAATTTGCAAAGGAGAGCAGAGGGAGGTAGACTGAAATTGAGAAAAAAAAAAAACCATACACACACACACACACACACACAGAGGGAGAGAGAGACTGATTTTATCCCATTGAGCAGACACCATCGAGGCGGGGGAAATGATCCTTATGAGACGACTGGTTTTGGCTAGAAAGTGGGCTTGTTAAATGTGTGTGTGTGTGTGTGTGTGTGTGTGTGTGTGTGTGTGTGTGTGTGTGTGTGTGTGTGTGTGTGTGTGCGCGCGCGCGCGCGTGCACATGGGTGTTCTTAACATTGCACGGAAAGGCGACTTTTGTGGCGGTCTGTGTGCCGCGTGTGGGAAGGAAAGATGCGGCGTTGTGGTCGGGTCTGGGCTGCGAGTGCCAGGGACGGCTGCCTGCAAGCGACCCCGCGGCGCGGCGCGCTCTCCGGGACGGGGCCTGTGCTAGCCGCGTGCGTCCTTGGCGCCGCTAGGTGGCGCTGCAAACCAATCGCTAGCGCGGGGCTCGCGCTTCGCGCCCGCACAGGCGGACCCGGGGCGGCCGGCCGTAAAGCGGGTTAGTCCGGGCGCCGGGGCGCGGCTGTGCGTCGCCGTGCGTCGCCGTGCGTCGCCGCGCTGCCCCCGCCCAGCCAGCCAGCGACGCGGGTCACGTGCGGCCCAGGCGCTGCCCCTGCGGGCGAGCGGAGGGCGGGGCCGGGGTCGCCTCGGGCCGGGCGCGAGCAGCGCGCGTGCGCCGCGCCCGGTGAGTGCGGGCGGCGCGGGCGGCGGGGATCGGCGCGGCGCGGCTCGGAGGACGCTGTGTGGCGGCGGCGCCCGCGACGAGGCCCGAGGAAGCGGCTGGGCCCGGGCATGGTGGCCCGCGGCGGCGCGGGAGGTGAGCGACCCCGGGCCGGCGGGTGGGGGGAGGGGCGCCGGGCATCCGCTCGCCGGGGAGGCCGGGGCCGGGGGGACGGGAGCGGGGAGGCCGGGGAGCGGGGAGCCGCGGGGCCGGGGCCGGGGAGGCCGGGGCCGGGGGGACGGGAGCGGGGAGGCCGGGGCCGGGGGGACGGGAGACGGGGAGACGGGAGCGGGGAGACGGGAGCCCCGGGGCCGGGGAGGCCGGGAGCGGGGAGGCCCGGGCCGGGGAGCGGGGATGCCGGGGAGGCCGGGGCCGGGGAGACAGGAGCGGGGATGCCCGGGCCGGGGGAGCAGGGGAGCAGGGATGCCGGGGCCGGGGCCGGGGCCGCCGGGGCCGGGGGAGCAGGGGAGCGGGGAGGCCGGGGCTGGGGAGCAGGGAGGCCGGGGCCGGGCCGCTCCGAGGCCTGCAGCCCGCCCCGCCGCGCCGCCCTTGCGCCTCGGGCCGCCGGGTTATGTAACGCGTGGCCTCCCGTCGTTCCCTCTCGGCCTCGGCGCAGCCACCCCGGCTCCGTCGCCCGCCGATCCCCGGGCGCCCGCGGCCCAGCTCGCGAGTCCCCTCGGTCCGTCCGTCCGTCCATCCATTCATTCGCTCGCTCGCGCGTTGGAGTGCTCGCTCCGCCGGCGCCGCCGCGGCTCCCCGGCCTGGGCATCCGGCATCCGGCAGGCGGCGGTTCCCTCTTGGCGGTTTTCCCCCTTGTGTATCTATCTGTTCCTATCGTATTCGGGACACCTGTCCCCCAGGGGCTTTACGGGCGCTCCCGCCACACTGTTCACCCAGACGACGGTCACTTGTCTGGCGGGAGCCCCCTTCCCGTGCCCGCTCTTTGGACGGCTCCCACGTCTCTGTAGTAGCTAATTGTTTAGAAAACATTACAGGTGATACACTCCAGTGCATACGACTAGGAATAGTGTATATGTAGGTAAACATAGAAGCACATCACGGGAAGGGTTTGTAACTACTAAGGGCTATGTGACAACTCTTACATTATCTAGTCTGCTCTCTGACTTCTCTAGACTTCCGAGCATGTCCCTTAGGTAGAATAGCACAGTGAGGAGTTCTCATTAGCTCAGCATGAAGTTACCTTCAAACGTAGTTCCCACATTGGCAGGGCTTGCCCAGGCTAGCTGATAGAGTACCACTCCCTCTCTCCCAAATTTTCCTGTGCTGGACACTTGGAAATCTTACTAAGCTCTCCACCCAGCCATACCGCCCACAAAAACGCACTTCGTTCACTGCTTAGGCTAGTTATTTGTCATTTTTCTTGAGTTACTGTGATTTCTCGCGTCTTTTAGCCTCTTTCAGGTCAGTCTGTACACTACTGCTTTTTATGGTAAATCATGCTTATTTGTTCACTTTAATATGTAGGGAATCACTTAAGATTATTTACGTTTTAAAATACCAGAGTCACTTTTTTTTTTTTTTTTGGTGTGTGTGTGGGGGGGTTCGAGATAGGGTTTCTCTGTGTGGCTTTGGAGCCTGTCCTAGAACTTGCTCTGTAGAGCAGGCTGGCCTCGAACTCACAGAGATCTGTCTGCCTCTGCCTTCCCAGTGCTTGGGAGTAAAGGTGTGCCACCACCAGCGCCCTGGTGGGAATCACTGTCAGAGTTTCTATGTTGCCTCTAATAAGTTGCAGTGATTACAGATTACCTTTCATGGCTTCTGAAGTGGAGAGGTCAAAGCATTTAGATGGGGGTTTGAATTTTTGTCTGCCAGCCGTATGATCCAGGACAGCTTCTCAGTCTTAGTTTGAAGACACTACTTTCCGGTTGGGTAGCTGACTAGTACGTTAGTTCTTAAATGAAAGGCATTTCATACGCCCATGAGTCTGTGTACACAATGTACTCAGTGTGTCCTGTGGTATGCTCTTGTAGCTGTGTCCTAAGTAGGGTCTGCTGTGCTAGAGATAAACCCAAGCACAGGAGACCCCAGGCACCTGTCTACCAGGGAAGACCCTGAAGGTTGGTGTGACTCTGCTTTAGAATGCAAGGGATTGTAGATCATAGCATGAACTGGCTGGTGGTGATGCACACCTTTAATCCCAGCACTAGGGAGGCAGAGGCAGCTGGATCTCTCAGAGTTTGAGGCCAGCCTGGTCTACAGAGTGAGGTCCAGATCAGTTATGGCCTTCATAGTGAGATTCATTCTCAAACAAAAAAAAAAAAAAAAAAAAAAAAAAAAATCACAGGGCAGGTTAAACCAATATTGAAATATGAAGAAAAGACCTACAGGGTACTGTTCTTTCTTGTAATAACCGCCAGCTGAAACATTAATGTGGATACTAGTGAATATTTTACAAATTTGTCTTGGAACACAATAGGAGAGTATGATAATTCAAGTCTTTAGAGACTTTAGTATGTCATCTACTCGTAAACTACATGCAAACACAAGTCTTTAAGTTTCAGTGTTACCTTCCCTGGATTGTGGGATTGATTGGTTGGTGCCTTCACTGGCGTCCTTATTTAGCTTGCTATTCCTCACATAACAGAATGATCTTTTTGAAAAAATAACTTGGGTTGATCTTTTCTTAAAAATCTCCCCAAAGGTCTGGGTTACATACAGAATTGAATGTAAGTCCCTTATCCCCGCCATCAGGGCACTGAATGATTTGCCAGCTGCCAGCTTAACCTAACCCTGTGACTTTTCACTACCTGGCCAGGATGCTACCCAGGCAATTAACACTGGGTACCTCTTGTGGGTGAAGTCAGTTGTTTGTCTTCTGTTCTTTCTTCAGGGAACCTTCTCCTGGTCCCTAAAATAGAAGCAGGTGCCTCTCTTCCTGTTTGATGACTTTGTTTCCTTTTAAATTAACTTTATTTTTAATTTTATTTTCCCTATTGTACTTACCAGATATGTTTTACACAGATATGCTTTTTCCATTAGACTTTTTGGACTCACTCTTCCTAACAAGTTAGAGACCTTAATAAATTTATTTGTAATTTTATCTCCAGTACTTAGTACCTAATAACCTCTTAGTAAAGATTGTTAAATAAATGAATGTTGTAGTTGATTTGAACATTTGACAGCTTGTGTCAGGAGTCAGGATCTTGCCTGCTACCACTTACTGACTGCATGATTGGACAGGTTGACTATAATATCACCTGCCTTAAGCATTACAGTGAGTAATTGAGTTAATGCATGTACAGAACAGGTCTGAAGTTTCTATACTTTGTGTGGAGATCAGAGGTCTTTGTCCAGTTTCTATCTTAGTTTTGAGGCAAGTCTCTCACTGAACCTGGAGCTGGCTTGCCATTTGGACTAGACTGGCTGGCTCCTAGGGGTGGGTGGGTGTGGGTGTGTGTCTGTGTGTGTGTGTGTGTGTGCCAGAATTTGACTTTTAAATAGCTTCTCTGTATCTGGAATAAGATAAAAAGTAAAACTGTTGAGACGGAGTGGCCTCTTTTCTCTCACTGTGTATGTAAGGTTTTTTTCCAATCTAAATCTGTCTAAGAGTGACTATTGCCAACAGCCACCTAACCTACAGTGTGGTTTTCATTGCTTTTGCTTTGAGGTTCTGCTAGAAATATGATTGTGGTGATGAAAGGAATCCCTAGAGGCGTCTTGTCTCCTGAGAGGAAACCCTTGAAGATCTCATGGAAGTCTGGTTTTTGTAGTGTTTAGGAAAGAGGTGTTTTGTCATCTTTGTGTGATTTTTTTTTTTTTTTTTTTTTCTCCCATCTTTCACAAGAAGTTTTCCCCGCATTCTGTGCTTTGGTTCTAACAAACCAAAGTTTAAAGCAATCTAGCAACATTCTACATACCTGCCTTTGACTTTGTTTTTATGTATTGTTTTTTACGTTAGTGTTTAGAGAAATAAATGAGACCATGACCTTGTAATGATACTTTGAGCTAATGCATTTGAGTTATTCTATGACAATTACACTTGTATAACACTAGTTCATTTTTACTTAGCATTTGTCCTTGGCAAAATGGCTTCTTATAATTTGTTTTATATCTCAGTCTCAACTGTAAGTCATAAGATTCTAAGCTTTGTGCCTGAAACTTAAAAAAGAATATGAAATACTACTTGTCTGTTCAACATTTGTTCCAAAATTATTAAGTGTGGACTATGTTGCTGGGCTCTTTGCTAAGTGGTTTCTCATTCAATATTCAGAAGTACCATATAGAGTAGGCATATTCATGAAGAAACAGATTTGTAGAGATGATACTACATGGCTGGGTCACAGGGTACAAGAGGAACCCGGGTTTTTACTCACTTACACCTGATTCGTGACCCAGGGTCCTAACTCTTTGTGAGCTACATTTAAAAAGGACAAAGGTTTGTATTTTTTGTCATGTGTTTTGTAAGTTTATGTTCCTCCTAATTACAGGCAGTGTTTTTAAATTATTTCTGCCTAAGAAGAGGGTAGCTGTAGTTAGTTGCAGGTGTCTCCGGGTGCTGGGGTTTAGACTCCAGGCCTCATGAGCTCTCAGCAAGTTCTTTCTCTCTGGCCCCCAGAGCTGTAGTTTATAGAGTTTAGCACAGATTCAGGTGTGGACATTAAGGGAGGGAAAGCACGATAGGCTTGAGGGAGTGTCAGAGGGAGAGCCAGCATGCACTCATGCCAGCCAGCTTAGTAACCCTCAGAGTCTGGGCTTCTCAAGAGAGAATGTCAGCTTTTAAATGACTTAACGGTTATATGGGTGATAATGCTGTGGCTTTTAAATTTACGTTGTTCTGAGAACTGTAGTCTTAGAAAATTGGCACTAGGAAGTAGTTAAAACTTTTGCCATATAATATTAAATTTTGTGTTTTCTTATCTGGCCAGGTAGAGATGATATAAGAGCCCTCCCCCTTTTTTAATTTATTCATTTGTGTGCACGTGTCTACACTGTGAATGCATGGGTTAGGACGTCCGAGGACAGTTTGTGGGGAGTTGGCCCTCCTACCATGTGGGTTATGGGGATCATACTTGGTCAGACTTGGATAATCATGCTTGATGGCAAGTGCTTTACCCCACTGAGCTGTCTCCCCCTTCCCTCTTTAAAAATTTACATTTATTTGTACGGTTATGGATGGGCCTGTATGTGTGGAGGTCAGAGGATAGTTGGCAGGAGTCAGGTTTCTCCTGTGTGGTTCCCAGGTATCGGACTTACTCAGGAGGCTTGGCTCAGGCATTCTCCACTGAGCTGTCCCACTATGGGGATCTTTTAGAAAGGCCCTTTGGCCCCATGTTTGTGTGCTTACACATGTGGAACCCAGAGGACAGCCTTCAGGTACCATCCACCGTTTTTATAAAACAGGGTTTTTCACTGGCTTGGAATTGGACGAGTAGGCTAGGCTGGCTGGCTAGGGAGGACATGGAGTCCTCTGTCTCCTCCCCAATGCAAGAGAGTACCACCAAACCAGACTTGTTGTTGTTGTGTTGTTGTTATTATTTTAAATGTGGGTTCTGATGTTTGAACCGAAGTTTACCGTCTGATCATCTGGCCCCATGGCTTTCCATGTGAGTGGGGTGGGAAAAAAGGTCTGTGGTGGATGTTAGAAAGTAAACCAGAATGCTGCTTTCTGACTTAGTCTTTCTTGACCACATTCAAAGTTTAAAAGAGGAACTTCTTGAAGGTTTAGTCATAAAACAATGGTTGTGTATTTTTTCTTCTTTTTTCTTTTTGTTTTGTTTTGTTTTTCGAGACAGAGTTTCTCTGTGTAAC